GGTAGGTCCCTGATTCTGTGACCGGAGGTAATCTATACTCGGTAAAATATCAGTGGGTTTTCTCAGTCTCTCCAGGCACATTCCGGTGTAGCACCTTAAATAGGCCATGACTTCTCTTTCATTCAGTTCATCCTGACATGCTATGCAACATGTGGTGTTTAAAAAGCGCCGATACGTGATCCAAGGACAGAAATAACAACACCACACCACATGTAGACCCTACATTAAGAACTATTTGGAAAGACGAAAGACTTGTGTCCCTGAAATAAGAACGGTAGCATTTCTGTTTCTGCCTAGTTTCAATCAACTATCTACATGGAACGGAATTCTTCTTAGTAGACTGATGGCCCATTACTGTGTTCACAAGAGCCCACCACTAGACTATATCCAGATTAATTTGCATCCATCCTCATACTCACATTGTAATCCTCTAAGATCCAGTTTAATATTATCCTTACATCTGACCCTATGTCTCCCGACTAGTGTATACCTTCAGATTTTCGGAATAAAATTTTATGCGCATTTCTCACATCCCCATACTGTATGTCCCTCCCATCAAGCAAAGATTTATAAAATTCCGCAGAATACGAATTGCATATTTCACGTTTATTTAACGACGACGTTAAAACAATGTGGACTCACGTCGGTCTTGCGCGCAGATGCCGACATACACCATTTAAACTGTTTGTCAATGAATTTGCATTCGATATTACATGAAACTAAGGAAATGTCATCACAGTGATTCAAACACTCTTTGAAGGCCTTGAGTCAAGGCCTCCTGTGACTTCCTGTTCCTGTAAATAACCCAGCGTTGTGCAAAATGGGCCTATGTTGTAATGAATACCGGATTTACCGACAAATCCCTGCAGTTTGTAAAACATCCTGAACTACAGGATACAAGGTGCTTCTCGTCGCAGGTAACTCCTAAAACATCCGTTTATAGGACAATGAGACCTATGGGCACCGAATTATTTGACGTTCAGTGTCTCGATTTCGTGACTCAGAAGAAACTTCATTCTTCTTCCTAAACATCAGTAAAAGAGGGATCTTCGAAACGGATATGTAGTTTGTTTCATCGGGAACAGAGAGATTACAATATAACTGCAAGAAACTTCAATTTTGAAACAAAATGTTCTCTAGCTGCAACTTTATAGTAACAAATTAATGGCAGCTTTATTATAATTTTTGGCCAAATAATCACACACAGGAGTTAATTAAGTCCCTGTGGGGTGTGCGGTCTGGGGAGTCACGTGCTGTATTACTAGCAGAACGAAGAACATGAAGGTAATATTTTATAACACTGGAGTACTGTAATACTTTTTAAACATTCTCTCAAGTATCAGCCTGAGAGAATTGTGTTTTTATGGAAGTGATCTTTAAGGAATCTTTAAGATACGTACATAATAACTACACAATGCTAGCAGATTTCAATAATTTCAATACCTACAAAGTTTGCGCCATCAAAAGCATTGTCCAGACTCCTGTCATGCAGCTCGTATCTGTGCGATTTATAACGCATTACTTTCGTAAACAGCGGGTAGACGAAATCAGTAAATAGAACGCGCCTCTTTCAATGCCATGAGGCAGGACGGTGCTGTTATTTAAAGACAGCGAAAATTTGAAATACGCTGTAGATCTTTCAATGCCATGAGGCAGGACGGTGATGTTATTTAAAAGCAGCGATAATTTGAAATACGCTGTAGAAATTTTAGTGTAAACAAGTGATGAGTTAAGATACTACCATACCTTGAAAACTCTATAAAGTTTAAAAAATATATTTTGTTTCCTCGTAAGCTCGTACAGGAATGCTACACTTTAAAGTTCGGCCATCTCCCCTACGTTACCAGCTTCTGTGGAGACACGTTTTTTTTTTAGATCAACCCACTTAATTCCATAATACTAGAATCTCATCACAGTAACAACAAAAGCTCATTACTGCACCAGATCCTGAGTCGAGTCATTTCGATTCATAGTTTCTAAGCCTATTCCATAAGACAAGAAGAAATCCACCGATCTTTCACATGTAACTCACCCACTAGTATGCCCAGAAAAATACTTTTTACATATATTGCTTCTCCAACGAAGCCGCATGAGATTATCGGCTGAAAACCAGTGAGCGTGGACGTCAGCAGTGGTGTAGGACGAACAATAATTCTTTCGTGAAACAATACGTGGGGTAATCAGTTGTCAAGGTTGCTGGATGCTGTATCAAGGAATACCAAGCACACACAGAAAACCAACTTCGCTTGGGCAAGGAGAAAGCTATGCCTTCGCGAGCTAGACACCACAGCCCGAGTCTGCGTACGTGGAATTTGACCTGGATTCAAACGTATTTCACTGTATGAAGAAGATTCAGTGCATAGAAAACACATTTTCAGCAGACGGCAGGCAGTTTCTTTTCTGTTGGTGTTTCACGTCAAAACCCGAAAGCTAACCTACGAAAACGAAAAACAATGAATAATATAAAAATCAGACTTGATCTCATTATGGCTTCATATTTTTAAACAGGGGTTGGCTAACCCACATGTGCTTAGTTATGTTTAAATTCGGAATTAGATCAAAACGTTCAATTGCATGTCCATGCTGTAAAGACTTCTCAGTTACTCCCAGGTCTTCAATCTCAAATCAGTGTTCACCC